TCTATGAATCTATGAATCTATGAATCCCTTGGGGCGCTCTGGTGAACAGACGTTCCCCCAGATCCTAGTGAGCACCCCTGATAAACTTATAGGTGAGCACCAGATCACCCCTGAGCCTGCGCTTTTCCAGGCTGAAGAGTCCCATGGCTCTCAGCCTCTAATCATAAGGTCTGTTTTCCTCACCTGCGATCATAAGTGGTCACACTGAAGTGCCCTCATGCCCCAGCCAGTCCCATCAGCATCTACAAGTGTGTTGCAGCACACTAAATGATGCCACTGTAGGATAGTACTTGTGTTTATGAGTACTATCCTGTGGCGGCATTTATTAGTTTACTGTGGCCTAATAGGGCCACACATGTAAATGCTGAGACTTTACTGCAGAGCTAATTAGTCAACTCTGCAATAAACATCTCATGTAGATGCACCCAGTATGTAGGATATTGCTAGGTGGAATTAACTATAGTGTGGCTCAAATGTCTCCCTACTTTAATAGGAGATGTGGGTTTCCAGTTTCTCTAAACATTATCAGTAGTGCAGTAGTGGCCAAAACATGCTAGGCCCTAACAAGCATGGAAAGGCAGAATCCCAGGCCAAAACAGCTTATAGTCAAAATGGAAAATAGAAATATGTGAGGGGGTAGAGGGAAAGGAACCATACCAGCAAGGTGGAATTATTATGTATTTCATTATATTGATTCAAAACTGGCTCTGTACCTAATTAATGTTACAGATATCACTATCACTGCAGGGGCAGGTCTTAAGGGAGAACGCAAATGACAGTGGTAGACCAGATGATGATAGACATTCCAAGTACAGGAAAGGAGACACATCACTAAAGGGAGAATGGTGAATAAATGAGCCAACCTTTGTCAGTGTCAGTCATGTCCTGTGGGTCTCTGGCACCTGGGGGGCCAATGCCTAGATTTGCCTCCCCGGGACAATCCAAGCAGGGTGTGGGTTCTGAGGCAAAGCAGCCTGTGCAGAGCCCTGCCTCTTGCCCCATGGCACTTCTGTGGGAGAATTGGGCCACTGGGGGAGGGGCGCTGGCCAGAATTTCTGGCCGGAAAGGAAAAAGAAGCCCACAAGCCGTCAGGAGGGCGGTGGGCCACACATAAAGGAACCGCGGTCTTTCTGGCTGGCGTGCCCCACCCCCAGCTGGTGCCTGGGGGCCATGGCCCCCTACTGCCTCTCCCCTACCCTGTTGGTACACCACTGGTCAGTATTTAGCTAGGAATTTGGGATCCTGACTTCATGCAACAAACTTCAAAAATACTGATTTAAAATTCCATTTCAGGTGAAACTGTTCCCTTAACTACTGCATTTACCCAAATCTAAGATGATCTTGAATTTAAGATGACCTCCCCAATAATGAGCAATAGGTTGGCCACCCCTGAGCTAGATGATAGAGCAATACCATCAAACCAAGCCTTTCCTGATGACTGCTGATTCTGCTATCCTCCAGCAACTGGCTACAGCATTCTCCTTGGATCCCACCTTCCATTCCTTATTTAGGACCAAACAGTGGCGACGTGTAGGGGGTTCATGGGGGTGCACATACACCCCCTGAGAGCACCGGTGCATCCCCTGATTGGCCATGCTCACCACTTAGGCAATGGGCAGGAGGGGCAGATGGAAGCACCAGTGCCCCCCCTTTAAGCGCTGGCCAATTGCTGCAGCCACTCCCAGAAGTGGCCGCAGCCACTCCTGGTAGAGGCTGCAGTAATTGGCTGCAGCGACTGGCTGTCATGGGATCAGCAGCTGGTCAGCAGGATTGGACGCAGGGGACTCCCTTGCCCCCCTCCCAGTTGGCGGGACTGGTTGCAGCAGGGGCACGTGCCCCCCCTGACCAAGGTGGCACCAATGCCAATGATGAAACAGAAATCAATGGGCACTCCAAGTGTAGGTTCATATCCCTCATGGGACACCGTCAGTTAAGCTGTTTCCTATATACAGCACTGATGCAGAGTTAGCAGTGTATGTCCTGAATTCATTGAGAATGAATGTTTAAACATTTTCCTCTTCCTTCTTCCCCAGTGCTAACCAGGAAGCAATACAGAAAGATGTAACATGAACTCACGCTTGCTCATTATATGGATGGGTTGGTTAGGTGGCACATTTGAATATTATGCAGTATACAATCAGATGAAGCCTAATAATGGATTTCTCATTGTGGAGTGAACAACACATCCGTTCTCCCTCCCCCCGACCAAAAATAGTACTGTACCTTCCCACTAATCAGCTGTTTTGTACTGCTGGTAACTCATGGAAAAATGAGTAGCATGTCAATGGAATGCACTTTAAAGTCAAACTCCCTAGTTCAGAGTCCACCCACCTCTTCCATATGGGAAGGAAATGCTGTAGTGCCATCGCTCATGTCCAAACTTGTTTGTACATGTGCGTGCTTTCCAGATCCTGGCCTTCCAAATGCCACCTGGATAACCTGACCCATGATCTTACTGTGTGCACAAGGAAGTGGACATGCAAAAGAGATATTTGGCCAGTTCTAGAGGAATATACTGTTGCTGGAATTAGCCCTAAAAAGAAATATCAGTAGCTCCCTGTGAAATGAAATCATAATCAGGTTGTTTGTTTAAAAAAGAAAGTTCTCATAGCAGATTTCATGTCCAAACATCAACAGGCATGTCATGACTTCTAAGATGGGCTGGAACCATAACATCATTTAGATTTTGAATAATTAGGATTTTTGAATAGCAAGGAAAGGTTGGCTGGTTAAATCTTGAAAGCATGCAACACAGTTTAAGTGTCAAGTAAGTATAATAATTATGTAGTTCATGCAACATGAATATTCCATCAATTTACTCACGCTCCACAGCAGCATAATTTGCTCATTTGAATTTTTAGTGAAACCCTTCTGGGTCACCCTGATCTCCAACCAGAGGTAAAGACTGAAAATCTGCCTCTGCTTTTACCACCCGCAACCTGGGAAAAACTGAAAAACGACTACACTGATTCTTTAAAGGTAAGACTGTGAGGCCTGCTAGCAGATATATCTCAGGTAAGAGACAACAATGACTGATTCAGAAGCCTCCCCATTAGAGTTTGATCCTGAAGGATGCTGGATAGCCCCAACTCTTAAAGATGTGGAGCACCTAGCACCGCACACAGAATCAGGCCTTAAATGACTATGACTCCAAGATTCCTTAGGATGAACCATGCCAATCTTCCACTGGTGGGCATATGGTCTAACAACCAGCCCTACGTAGCCAATACCACTGGTTACGGGAGTAAGTAGTCACCACGACACATAGGGTGGCAAGGTCAAGACAATGAGAATTCTGTTGCAGAGTTTCTCTTCAATCTTTCCAAGCTCCATTCATCCCTGAATGAAAGTCTGTCCTTTCCTATGATGTATTCTGCACACCATGTATTTATTAAAGTCTGTTTATTGATACTGACCTGTCAATTTCCTTCCTTCCCTGTTTAATATTTAGGAGAAAATAAAGAGCTATTTTGACAATATGCTGAAGCTGGAGATCACAGAACAATGGGAGAAGGAACTTCAGCCAGAACTGGTGCAAAGCCAATACAATTCATCTCTATACTTTGATATTCAAACGGTATTTGATTAGCTTATGCAAAGTACATGCTTTTCCTTTCATTCCAAGGAAACTGGAATATTACCTTGTGGTATGTAGGTGCTGCCTCCTGTGATAATTTATGTTAGTCACGCACTTGCAGAATACATTAGAAAAAGCTGCCATTTATTATAGTTTTTAGCTCTGCCACTTGCCTTCTAGCTGCAAATTAAACCCGCTGACAGTTGTGTCACTGGCATAATAGGCAACTGATTTTAAGGTCTTTAAATCTCTTTGATTAGAAATTTAAAAAAATGGATTGTTAGAAAAGCCTCTTCGTTGAAAGAGCTACTTTGTCCCAGGGCTGTAGCAGCCACCGAAAGGCTGGAGGCAGAGTGACAGCCACTCAAATTTGAACAGGAAGAAAAAACAAAAGCTCTTACTAGCTTTAGGGAGCACAGAGTAATAAAGCCAAGAGGGTTTGGATTCATTTTCATGACTTACAAAGGATTGAGTCATTTCAATTGAATAATCCTAAAGAAAAGAGAGAGAGAGAGAAAGAAAATCAAAGATTTTTTTGCCTACTGCTGTGACTCATTTTCCATAGAAAAATTTTCTACATTCTAAATTTTTTTTTTTGATAACCATGAAGGCAGATGTGAATTGGAGTAGCAGATGGGTAAGGATGTTGGGAAAGGCAATAAAACAAGATTGTAGCTTGTCTGACTTTCAAGGCACAGCTGAAGGTGCGTGAATAGGGACTAGGAGGGACCAGGGACAGGATTGCAGTAGTTAAGATAGGAAATGACTCAAGCACAAATGAGGATTTCTGAGGTGTAGGCCCAGATTCTCAGCTGTGGCTAAGGTGTACTCTGGACAGTCAGTGTGGAGAGTAAGGCAGTTTTTGGTTATGTTGGGCTGCGGGACTACCTGGAGTGCTTCTGGATTTTTACCAAAACTGGCATAGAATAATGAAAAAAGTCTGGTAAATATCTTGGTGCTTCCACCGGGATATGTGAATCACTACCATTCACACTAATCCAAGTTACACAGTCGGGTGGATGAAGGTGATTCCCCTGTACTTGTCCCATTTATTGGATTCTTATCACACCACGTTCTAGATCATTGCAGAACACATGAAAACATCAGGAAAAATCTCCACAAGCCTGGGAACTGCAGTTCTTGAGATCTGTTTGTTAGATCTGAAGGAATACATCCCACGGTAAGTGCTGCTTGCAGCAACAGATTCCTTCCAAAGTGAGGACCACATTCCCAAAGGTCAGGAGAGGTATCCATAGTGTAGGGCCAAACATTAGCATCATGTGGCATACCTGTGCCTGTTGCCGAGAGAACTCCAATTCATTGGAAGCATGACAAATTTAAAAGAGGAGCTGCAGAAAACCAATATATACAATAATAGACAGATGGGAGACCCATGTCACCCATATATTTGATGTCAGAGCTCCAAAAGAGGAACTGTTGGCTGGAAAGGACTTTCTGCCAGTATCTTATCTTTCCAACATGGTCCAACTGTGGTATGCAGAGCCTGGACAACAATTAAGCACCTGCCCAAATGAGGCTGTAGAAAGGCACCGCCTGTGATCCTGCATTAGCCTGAGAGCTTTGCCCTTAACTTTGATGGGTGCCGAAGCAGGCCCAGAATGCATGACTTACTTGTAGCCTGACATCTGAGTCTCAAATCACTGCAGTCCAGTTCAAGGGAGTAATTTATTCTACCTCTGATGACATAACATTCTTTCCTCATGAGTAGCCCCGAGGGTCATGGCTAGATGTCTGCATTAAAATGCAGCTGCCAGTGTTCAGATTCCATTGAATGTAGCCCTCTTCATCCTCCCATGAGGGTGAACACTTCCAGGAAAGATAGTGGCTGCACAAAGGAAACAACAATTTTCTCATCCTGAGACATCTATTTGCCTCCTCCTATCACACATGTTGGATTGTAGTGAGAGGAGAGTTTTGCTCAGGTTTCAGATCAACACTCTGGCATAACAAAGGAGAAGGACTTTTCAGCATGAATCAACTCCATCCAAGACTAAAAATAATTTTGCATTAACCTTTGCAATTTCACACCTCAGGAATGAACCAAGTGGGTAGTTTGCTAATAAACGTTTTACAAAATCAAGTGTGGGAGAGAATGAAAATTGCTTTCTTGAATGTGAAGTCGTAGCTTTCTGTAAGGCATGACAGATATTTAAAAACACTTAAAAGCAACATGTTAACCCCTCCAAAATCTCATTTCCCATACCATAACTACCCCAGCGAAATCCAGATTAGTTTACATGAATCGTGTTTACAGGGGGGTTCTTTTTAAGAAGCATTATGATTTTGCAGTTGAAAGTGATTAATCTAAGAATATTCCTTTCGTTTTAATTCATTTCTTAAACTTCTGTAGCAAAATCAAACTGCTTTTGGTGGTGGAGTTAGACCTCGATGACCTTGGAGGTCCCTTCCAAATCTTTGACTTTATGATTAAACAACTAAGGACCCAAGGTCCCTATAGTGATAGGGGGACACAGGTTTGCTCCCTTAATTATGTTTTCTCATATATTATGTGTGTTGGGGCAAATGGACCATGTTGGTCTAAACAAGATACCTTTAGATCAACAGAGCAATAAAACATGAAAGAATGGAAGCTAAATCTGCAGTGAATATGGGGAATATTTGTCTCTTCCAATTCTCTGTATAAACTTGAATGTAAAATGGAGCCTATCTCTAACTATCAGGATCCTCAAAGGTACAGAGATAAAAACGAATACTGATACCTCATACACCATGCTGACAATACACAGTGAAAAGCTAAGCGGTATTGCCTTGCTTATGTTGCATTTCTGGCATAAAATGAGCCCTGAGCTAAATCCCTTGCATGTTAGCTGAAGTAAGTACACATTATACTGCTCCAAAAGCCAGAAAAATGACTGGAGTATTTTGTGACCCTGCTGATTACTAATTCATTTAATTGTCCGCAGTTAAAGACTTCAACCTATGCCCTTTCATGCGTACAGATTTCTGGAAGCTGGAATCTGAGTCATGCTGATGACAAATGAGCACATTCCAGATAAAACTGTATATTTGGCTATAATGTCTATGTATCTCATTCCCTACCCCCATCCCCCAGTAAGACGTACAAAAAATCTGTGCATATAGAAGAAACCAGACAGGTCTGGCAATATGTTTGCCTCATCAGGTTCATGTACATGAAACGTTGTGTTGTCTAAGAGGACCTGTACACTGCTTTGCTTCAACTAACTGCAGCTAATTTCTGTTTTAATTAATGTTGCAGATTTGTAAAGGTTTTTCTGGAGTGGGACAAAGAGAAAGATTTTTCCTTGTTTCTGCCATATTTAGCAGCCTACATCAACAGTTTCCACGATCTGATGTAAGTCTGAAGTTCTCTTATAACAATTTTCGGGTTTGGGGAGGGAGGGTGGATTTTTGGTGGGTCTCAGAGTTAGAAAAGAAGGAATCCGTTAAGGCCCAATAGAATTAATGGCCCCAAATCAACCTGGGTATAAGTGAAGTGAAAAAATGAAGTTACACCAACAGTGATTTGGTCCTCTGAGGATTGCATAATGGTGCCCATGGAATTTAGCTGATAAAAGCTCAGTTTGTCCTGAGGATGAGGATGGAGCAATAGAAAAACATTTGCCATTGATATCAAGGGTTTAGATGCAGGCCCAGCTCTGGCCTGTTCTTCCAAGCCATTTGCAGATCTCAAAGAATCATCTTTTCAGTTTAAAGTCTAATAGTGTAAAATCAGCCCTTGCTGCTCCTTTTGACCTTAGGAGGGAAAAATATGTGGAGAAAGCACTTTGTTTGCAAACGTTGTGGGTTGTAGCCATGGTGGTCCAAGGACATGGGCAAACCAGGTTCTTTGGGTGAATCTGATATCTTTTATTAAACAGTTGGAAAAACATTTTTTTAAAAGCAAGCTTTCGGGTTTAAAAACCCTTCGTCAGTCTGAGGAAGTTTCAGCAGTTGGTGTGTGCTCTTCCTGGATGGGATGAAAAGTCCAGAAAGAGCACACACCAACTGCTGAAATTTCCTCAGCCTGATGAAGGGTTTTTAAACCCGAAAGCTTGCTTTTAAAAAAATGTTTTTCCAACTGTTTAATAAAAGATATCAGATTCACCCAAAGAACCTTGTCTGCCTTTTGTTTGCAAATAAACTCTCCATTTAATGGCCAGTATTGGTGACTTCAAGGGTTTTACGTATGTTAAAGACTGGGTATCTACAGCTTGGCTTAAAAATGGCTTCTGGTTTGTGCCTATTAGCTTGTCTAGCTGCCAAATCTACTTCGCTGCAGCAGGACTGAAATGCAGCCTATCTTCAAAAGGCCTGAGTTCAGGGTTCAGGAAGATGGACCCCTAGGTAGAGAACAATGCCTGCTGTGATCAGGGCTAGGGTGCAGAGGTATTATACACCTCTTGCCTTGTGGCTACTCCTGCAGTCTGGCCAGAACAGCAGCGGCAGTCCTCCTTGGGGCACTGGGGGCAGTGGATCTCCATAAAAATAGATTTGCAGCCCTTTCCATGGCACTCCCCTGCCTTGCAGCACAGAGATGGTTCGAGGCATTCCTACACAGCCAGGCTGAAAACTCCACCTGACACACTTTTCATCCAATCTGTCTTGTGCAGGCAAAAGTTACAAGCCCCTGGTTGGGGTCCTTTGAAAATATCATGCATGGCATCGTAAGTGCTGTGTCTGTTCTTAGACAGTGCTCAGAATACTCTTAAATTCTACAGCCCAAGAGGTGAAGGGAAGACGCGAGATGTATCAAACATACCAGGTGCGGTTCTGCCCACATGCTCCACTATACCCTGGGAGCAGCTCTCATGACATCACCTGACTCACACTCAGTTGTAAGTGAAGTCAGCATCAGACAGAGTTTCCAGTAAACTTTGCTGATACCAAAGGTTCAGCTGTAGCAAGGATATCAAAGATAGAGGCGGCAAGCCAGATGTTGTCCAGGTCCTGGTCCTGGCTTTGCCAGGCTAGCTCAGTGTGCTAAATGAGGAGTAGGGGCTTTTCATAGATGCTAGAGTCAGAAAGGACCTCAACAAACCACCAAGTCTAAAACCTGAAAGCTGGAGACTTTACTGACTGAGCTACCAGAGTCAACCCAGGTGGGAGCTGGATCCCACAATCACCAGCTCCAGAGGCTGATGCCTTATCCATTAGGCGCTACTGGCTTTGGTCTGATGCCTGTTTCAGACAGCTCTTGGAGCCAGTCCAGGGCACACGCTGTCTGTGGCACTGCACCAAACTGGCCCTGCACACTGGATGCAGCACACAAAGCTGGTCTGTGAGCCTGATCTAGCCCACCAACTGCCCCAGCACCGCTCACCTGGGCCACAGGGGCTGATGAGTTTGACAGCCCTGTAGCTATGGTGATAACTTTTGATTCTGGATGTCATCACCATTCAGAGATTAACAGCATGAGAATGCATTTTTGAACAGCAATATCATATCACATGCCAAGGCTGGGCCCTGTGAAATTGGGCCAAAAGACCTCTTGAGAAGGTTTGAACGTTCATAAAAATGCACTTGCAGTTCCCAGAGCAAATGTAGGGGCTTGTGTTCAGTGGATAAGTGGCAGTTATCTGTGGTATACTTATGTGCCGTTTCTCTAAATCTAGCTCATTTGCAAAGGGTTCATTGGTCCTGATCCCTACTCAGAAGCTCAGGGGAGACATAAGGCCTCTTTTTGGCTTGCAGTTCTGTCTCACTTGGGATCAGAAAAGGCCACTCACTGCAACTATTGATTGTGAGCAAAAGGGTAGGGAGGGGTGAGGAGTGAGGACACTAAGCTCTGCCTTGTTGCTCACAGGTCAGGGCAGCTTGTTGGGTGCAAGGAGCACAGCTGCTCCATGAGGAGAGGCAAGGGAACCTTCTGCTTACCCTATACCAAGCACAGAGCAGCAGGAATTGTAACCAAGTCCTGGGGTGATGCAACTGTGCATCGCCCCTCTGTGCAGAGGGGCCAGGGGTGACCCAAGTGGGCTGGTGGCAGTTATGGGTGGGGATCATGAGCCCCAAAAAAAAATCATTTCTTCTATATTATTATTTGGAATCAAAACTGGAGGTCATTTGGGAATGGCTGCTTTGGAGGTTGCCTGTAACATCACAGTCCAGCCCGAAGTTAACTCCTGTGACCAGACTACACTGGCACCAAAGATCTAAGTGACCCTTGGCCAACTCTTCCCTTCCAGGTGTATGCCAAACCAAGCAAAAGTGTCCAGACCCCATCCTGCCTCCTTGTTCCAGCCCAGTTGTGCCACTGACAGGGATATCTGGCCCTGTACTGTTCACTGTAGGCATAAAAGTTGCCACAGCCACCGGTGCCCACAGTGGATTTTTGTTCAGTTTCACAGTAAGCACTACCAGCAGAAAGCCTCTAGATGGCACAGTATATCCAGGAATTAGTCACATGCCAGCTTCTAGCAAGCAGTATAAAGCCAATAAGACCTATTTGAAAGTCAGTCACATCAACACTCTCATTTCTAAGTACCAGCCATTAAAAAGTTTCTTTACATTTATCTGCTGAGGATTTCTTAAGACAGTAAAGCGAAGGTCAGCACTTTCAAACCAGGGCCCTGATTCTGCAAACACACACCTACTTCACTTCATGTGCGTGAATTGACTCCAGTGGGACTAGTCAGACATCAGGTTAACCACATGCACTGATGTTTGCAGAATTAAGGTGCTGAATTGTAAGGGGTGGGCAGATTAGATGGCATCTAAATGTACTTCAATGACTTAAGTTTCCAGATGTTGATCACTGTGTAGAAATCAGTGGAAGTAGCAAAGGTCCAGTGTCTGTAAA